AAAATATTTCAAATATCTATAAATTAAATTAAATCAATAATCATTACATCGACAAAGTTCTATATAAATCTTTTAAAATCTTTTGATTAAGCTATTAGTTATGAATTCTTATTCTCTTATCAAATACATGCAATCTATTATTATATGTCATCATATGTTTTATGAGACTATTAATCTTTCTCTCATTATATTATCATATATATTATTATGTATGTTAATTATCATATAGTTGCCAATACATCAGGTACTATCATATGAACTATGCTTGTATGTATATATCTTATCATTTATACTAATATGACATATTAATGCATATGCAATGCATGAGCAAGTAGCATATGTTATATGAATTTAACAATGTAAAACATCTAGCTTTTAAGTAGTATTTTCCCCTTCTTCTGTCTATCATATCTTTCATTCATCTTATCAATTACAGACGAGTTTCAATACATCAAAAGAAGAGTCGTCACTATCTAACAGTTGGCATAGTTCAATCAATCAATTATAGGTTAACAACTAGGATTACACCACAAATATTTTATTTTAAGAAAAGTCTGTCGGTTCACCTTTTTATACAAGGTAATTATTTTAAAGGTCAACATGTATTAATAATATGATTTCCAACCAATAATCTTTATTACTTACATGCAAATGTTAAATCAATTATATATTCATGATATCATGCTCAATCTAAAATTTCATACCCCTAATGCATGTCTGCTATAACAAATACAAAAGTCAACTTATATGCAAAATCCTAAAATTTTAGTTTCTTATAAGTCATGCAAATGCTAGGAAGTTGCTATTTCATTAATCAATGTTGGTTTGCCAACAACTCAGTTTCTTCATAAAATCAAAATTTACATTTTAATATATTGGTGATATTTTTTTATTAATTTTAGGTGCGATAAAATTCAGAAAATTAAAATCATTGAAAACAAAAATAGAGTTTGAGTTACCTATCATGATTAAAAGAAATCTCGTAACAAATCTGACGAATAGAAATGCCTCGAAAGGCCTTCTCTCTCCACTTTCTCTTCTCCTCTCTCCCTTCTCTCCTCTCCCTCTCTTCCTTTCTTCCCCGGCAAGGCATCAGCTGAATGGGGCTTATGGGTTATGGTGAGATATATTAAACATTAAATATATATAAAAATATCATTTAGTGCATGGCGTTAGGAGCTAAAGTCTGCATGTAAAAATTTGAGTCACTGTAGCTAAAATCTGCATGTAAAGACCTTTCTCATTTGATAAGCTAATTACTTTCGATATAATCCATATATGGAATCTAAATTTATAATGCACAAAGTTTAATCAACATTAAACTAACATTCACTAAAACATATTTTAAACTTTTAAGTAACTATTTAAATGTTACACTTCCAATAGATAATCTAAACATAATTGAGTTTTTAAGTGAAATACGCGTTTTTATTTTTCAGTAGAAAATAAACTTAACCCATGTCCTTGTAGACCTATATGAAAACTCATCTTGCATCAGCTTAGTATTAGGCCAGGCAAATTTATCCTTTATTTACTTTTTAGTTCATTTCCCTTTGCATTGTCCTTTTAATTTTCTCTATTTTTATCTTTTCTTCATGACAATGATAACATTTAATAGACACAAAGGCTTGAAACAAGACTTATTTATAGATTTTATGAGTTACCAATAAAAATCATTAGAAATCTCGTAATAGATTTGATGAATCGAACATGTCTCAGAAGGCCTTCTCTCTCCTCCTCTCTCTCACATCACGCCCTGGCTGCTAAATAGGGGTGTCAATTTTTTACACGACCCGAAACCTGACCCGAACCCGACCCAGAAAAATCCGTGTTAGGGTCAACTCAGACCCGAAACGGGTCAGGTTTGGGTTCAACAAATAAACCCGTCAACGGGTCGGGTTTGGGTTCGGGTTGACCCAGCAACCCAAAAATGACCCAAAATTGACACGAAAACTCCTATTTGACTCGGAAACCCGATATTGACCCGAAAATCGAAGATTGACCCAATTTTTGACCCTAAAACTAGCAATTTTAGGTCAACTTCGGGTCATTCGTGTCGGTTCAGGTTGACCCAGACCCATATCAGGTCGAGTTCAGGTCCGGAAACCTGACCCGTTTTTAAAAACGGTTCGGGTTCGGGTTGACTTGAACAGTGTCGGGTCAGTTCCGCGTTTGACTCAAATCCGACCTGTTGACCCGAGTTGACACCCATACCGCTGATTAGTGGTTGTTTGCGGTGGTCGAGTCGTAAGCATTTGTTGTTAGAGGATATAATTTTGAAGCTTTCAATACTACAAGTTCCATCAAGTTAACACATAATGGTGCAACATGGGCCAACCCCAACCCCACATAGTGGGATAAGTACATGCTGTTGTTGGTGACGGTGATACGTGGGCCCCACATCCCATGTCTTTTCACCAAATGAAAAACGTGACTAAATAAGAAATCCAAGTTTCGAAGCAACGAAAACCTCTTCCTCCTCCATTAAGTCTGATCTCCCTCCAATTCAATCCTGGAACTAAAAGCCGAAACCTTCCTTCCCAAAACAGAAAAAAAAAAACCATCCTAAACATTTTATTTCTAAAATAGTGAAATCTACCACGTGCAAGCCTCAACACATTGCCTTCTCATCATTTTCCCACATGCCACATTTCAACGGCTGCGATTCCAATCTACCAATAATGCTCGTGCTGAAAAACATATATAAACGTGCTGGATTCTTATGACCAGTCGGCTCAACGGCCTCGCACGTACGATCACATCATACCGAATAGTTAGGCATTACATTCGTTCCAGGCATAGAAATAGGCAAGGCAAAGGAAAGCGAGGATTGGGTTATCCTCATTCAGTTATTTGGAGTTAATTAAGATTTGTTGATTCGAACATGTGAGGAGACAAGCATGTATGCTCACACGTGCGTGTCTCTTTAATGACGGCGATGGCATTACAGCTGTGCGCGCATTTCTCGCCATTCGCTTCTTAGTAGAACAGACGTTGAAGGATTGAAGTGCTAGCTAGCTAGCTAGCTATGGATTTCAGCTTGTTAATTAATGGAGTTAGAAATATGTTGTAGTCATGCATGCCATATGTTGAAAATTATGATTAAATAAAACTTTTAGTTATGATTTTTTTTAATATATCTGAAAGCAACACTCGCGACTAGACTTTTGATGTTAAGATAAGCATGGGATGTTTATAATTTTTTTGTAAATATGACTGTAAAGCTACTATGAAAAAAATGACTATTTTGAATTAAAGATGTTATATAGAAGTCAGTTTCCTAACATAAAAAAATTATTGGAAGAAGTTAAAAAGTAGTGATCAAACAAAAAATACGATTTTGATATGAAAAACAAAGTAGTAAGAAACTTGTTCCAAACGAAACCTCATTTGGATAGTGCTTTCTCGCTATATTTTGTGGTAGAAAGCTACTTTTTACAACCGGAGTGGTCAATATGTAATAATTTTAAGAAAGCAATGTGACAATTAGATTTTAAAAAGACATAATTATAATAAACATGTATAGAAGCTTTCAAAAAAAGTTATTTTTTCATGACAACTTCAAAATAATCTTTACAAAATGCTATAACAGCTCTAGACTGAACATAAGTGAAATGTGAGTATATGATGATTGTTTCTAAAAGACATAATTAAATAGCTATATTTTATATATTTACACTTTTAATAACACAAATGATAATGCTCCAATTGATTAGAAAAAAATACATTTAATATAAATGTTAAGATATTAATAAATGATACTTTGGTAGGAATGGAAATGAAACCATAACCATCAAAAAGTTATTATAATTGTACTTAAAATCAAACCAAATTAATGCCTTTGAGTCACACCTTGTGAAACAATGGGACTAAATATATAATACTTAAGCACAATAAAAAATGATTAAAGCTCAAATTCTAGCCATCATACTCCATACCATTTTTTTTTTCGATCAATTGGCCTTCAATGAATGTCAATCGATGATGCCCAGCTGAAAATATTTAGAAAAAAGAGAGTAAATACACTTAAGAAATTCTGGAATGCAATCGAAAAATTATTAACCGTTGGATAAGCATCCAATGGACCCAAATTTACTTCCATGCAAAAGTGGATGATGGCCACAAAACTTTATATCTAGTTTGTGGCGAGGAGTGAGGAGCATTGGCGGTGGCACCAAGAATTATTGAGAAAAGATGTGTGCTTGCGGATGGCATCAAAAATAATAATTAAGCATCATCGATGCATTCATCTTTGCCAGAATTATCTGCATGATTGCTCTTTTTGCACTTACTAATAAAGAAAATCTTGAAAGAAAGAAAAAAGAATATTTTAAACTAAGATTTTATTTGGGACAATTTTTTTTACTGTTTTTTAAAGCAGTTTTTTTAATTTTTTAACTAAAAAATTATTTTAAAAAGTAGTAATAAAGCCGTCCCAAATAAAACCCAAGAATCTTCATATTATTTATTTTAATTAGCTTAAAAATATATTATCAAGTTCATAGATTTCCTATTATTTACTAGGGTGATTATAATAAAGTTTATGTTAACTCACAAATATATCATATATCAATATCCTATTGTACATCACAGATATAAATTATGTATTAATTTTTTTAGAATAAAAGCTGACAACATTGCTGAAGGCCTCAAGTCCAGAAAAAAATTTCAACTGAGTAATTAAGCCAAGCCAAACACAATTATATTAAATATATAAAATCTGCCGTATATATATTACACAAGAGATTGGAGAAGCAATTAAGCTATTTTGTACAAATACAAGCACCACAACCCTTCAACTTAGGCTTCGTTTGAGACGGCTTTCTTACTGCTTCTTAAAGCAACTTTTTACTATAAAAATTTTAATTTTTATACTAGAAAACTGCTTTAAGAAGCAGGAAAAAAACCGTCCCAAACAAAGCCTTAGTTACATTTATACATCAAGATTGATCCTAAGCAAAGCTACCAACCTTCATCAGTCAAGCATCATGGAGTGTTGTTCCAGATCTATAACCCATTCAGAGATTGTACGGCCCAGAAATCCTCAGCACTCAAATAAGTCTCGCTAGTATTAATACTTCCACTGTAGGCAGCTGGAACATAAGCTTCGTGAGGATTGGCAATATCTGAATAAATGGGATAGCTTGGCTGTGCCGCCATGGCTTCCTCAAGGCCGCCGGCATGGCTAGAGCTACCTTCATCATTCACTATTTGGCTCGAGCAATCGACTGGTTCACCATCTTTAACTTTCTTCTGGATTCTTGTTCTCCAATAGTTTTTTATCTCATTATCAGTCCTACCTGGGAGTTGCCTCGCAATTTTGGACCACCTTGTTACAATAAAAATTATGAAAGCTATATATTATATGGATTAACATGTAGAAATCATTAGATATAAATTAGCTTACAAAGAAGAATGATAAGCTAATGATTACTTAATAATTTTTATATAGGGAGAGAAAGTATGCCTACTTAACTTTTAGTGGTTTGTTGAGGAGATTATTAAGCACTTATATTGGTCCATGAATAATATTATATATATTTATACTAATTAATATAATATGAAAATGAAATATGAAGACAATTAAACCTATATAAATACTAGAGCAAGTAAACACAAATATATTAGAAATTTGAGTTTATAAGTCCTAATTCCAACCGAAAATTTCATTTTTCACTCCAAAATGCAGTGAAACCAAAAATATCGTGGTTCATCTTCAATCGAACTTCATTTTGCACGCTTCTACCAAGGTAATCGCATTTCTCCTCTTTCGCCTGTTTCTTTGGCAAATCTGGTTGAAACAGAAAAATGGCGTAGGTAAACAGTGTCACGCCAATATTGGCGTCGCACTGTTCACCCACCACTGAATATCGATTATTTTGTCGTTCGAATGGAGCAAACCATCTACACGCCTTACAGTCGGTTGGAGTTCCGCTGGCATGGAGACGCCCCTAAGCTTAGCTTTAAGATCAAAGTACTCATATTAATATAGCATTGAAAAGACATTAGAGATATTATTTTAAAGGACTAGCTACTTACACACGTTAGTCTTTTGCAAACTAAAAAGTGGAGTTCAATCATAATAGACATAAGAAATGACAGAGCATTAGAATAGTTGCTTTTGTGATGATGAAAGAGCTTCCTTAACTAGAAATCTTCCTAATAATTCTCTTGTGCTCACAAAATATCATTGCCAAGTATGGCAGTAGCTGCGAAATCAATATCTAAGCGTTAGTTTAAAAGGACTGGTGATAAATGCAGTAGGCGTGTTTATTCCATAGAATAAAAAAAAATCTTTGTAGAGCACAGAACAATTGTGTGCAAGTATATATTCACTTCTCTCTTTTAAGTTCTAAGTGTTTGTTCAAGTATATATTTCACGACAGGATTAACTTGGATGCTATCTTTTAATGGGACCAACATGACCACATCAATAATCCTTTCCACTGCCCTTAGAATGCTTTTGAACATGTAGAATTAGAAGCCATAGATGACAGCGATTTTAGTTCTTTTTATGGCAGTGGCCAAAAAATAAAGCTTTTTTGTTCACATATATAGCTTGTAATCAAAATGAACAGAATTTTTTTAAGATTATTTTTTTTGCTGTTGTCTAAGACTATGTTTGAGATAGCTTTCACATTTGTTTCTAAAAAAGCTTTTTTACACAAAATTTTTTATTTCAAAATATTTTTATACTAAAAAATTGTTTTAGAAAGCTGTCCCCGGCTTTGTTTGGAAGAGCTTTTGACTACTTTTTCGTTGATTTTAATAAGTTTTTGTGCTAAAAAATTGATGTGAAAAATAATAAAAAAAATTTATTACAAAAGAAGTATATGTATAAAACGGGACTTTGCAATTTGATAAAAATAGTTTTTGTTAACATTTTTTTATAATACTCTTAACTTTTTTTTTTTGGATTTTTTAATGAAAAATTAACTATCATCAAATTTCATGGTTTGGAGCCTTGCATTAATTCTTGTGCCAACGTGTCTTCAGTTCTTATACTTGCCCGCTAAGGAATTGAGGCACCAGTAGATTTTTTTTTTCTTCCCGTTCACTTGTATTATATAAAGTGAACAAGACAGCTGCTTTCTTTGGTCAGAACTTGTCCTTACCATGCATATGTAAAAGAAGCGCGTCTATGGTTATCTACAATCATATCCAAGATATTATATATATAAAAGATTCACTATTAATTTAAAAATTAATCCATTAATATTTAAGTGTCTATTCTTACGAGTTAGTCTGCTTCTAACGTGTGACTTTTTATTCTGTGTGAATTCTGAATGAAGGGATTGTTCGATTTTCTCTTTGTTTATAGTAAAAATACAGTCAAAGCACATCTGCTATAGTAACTACACTTTGATTGTGATTTTACTGTTGACAGAGAGAAAATCAAATGGACAAAGAGAAAATCGAACGATTCTCTCAGTCCAGTGTCCGCACAGAATAATTTTCTCCTAACCTGGGGCTCTTTTTTCAGAGAAAAATCTTTCCACCGACACCTCTACAGCTAAAGCACGCCTTCATAAGTCTTTATCTTTAAATATGTCTTTATTATTATTATTACTGTTATTTTATGATTTGCATGAATATATATCTATTTGGGAATGATGTGAGACTGTCAGTAACGAAGAAGGAAGCTCACCTGTTTCCCCACCTTGAATGGAGATCCATGATCAGCAACTGTTCTTCAGGCGTGATGTTCCCACGGCGGACGTCTGGGCGGAGGTAATTCAGCCACCGAAGCCGGCAGCTCTTTCCAGTTCTCTTAAGACCTTCTCAATTATGCAAATCGTACCAACCAAAACCAAACATAATGGTATTGAAAGAAAAAAAAGAAAAGATCGGGAGAGAGCATGCGTCATGCATGCATGCAGATATATGTATTCATGCATGTAAAGAATACCTGCCGATCGAGCGAGATTGTTCCAAACCCCCTCACCATGAATGGCTATGTAGTTGATGAGTATGAGGTCCTCCTCCATGGTCCACGGTCCCTTCCTCACTACCTCAGACTCCTCGTTGTTGTTAATCCTCTTATCCACACTAATGGCCTCCACTTGATCTCCCATCATGGTCGAGAGAGAGAGAGAGAGAGAGAGAGAGAGAGAGAGAGAGGAGGGAGAGGAGGGAATGAGTAGGGAGACTAGGGAATGTCAAGGAGGCTTGAGGTTGTTGAGAGATTTATAGAAAAAAAAAGCAAGAATTTCGCTTTTAAAAATCTTCATTAGTCCTAAAAAAAAGGTTTAACTCGAGGGAGATCAAAGGGAGTAGGTACGGTCCTGATTCCTAAATAAAGTAATACGATAAGTTGATTTAGCTTGATATATTTTTAAAGTAAACAAATATTTTCATAATAAAGATGAAAATTTAAAAAAAGTCTTAGTTGCTAGTTTTGTGCGGTATCTGATTGCGTTGATTAATTAGGTAGTATTGTTGCCTCAAACCTCAATTTAATTTGTCGAGCTCATTGGGATTTGCAGGGGGGCCCTTCTCTTGCTTTGGTTCGGGTGTCTTGCATACGATTTTTTTTTTTCGTACAACTTTGCAGCGTTGTGATGTTGTGTACTCAAGCATTACGGTGCTATATAATTTGCTTTGAGACAAATCAGAGTGTAGTAATGTGGCGCTCTAGACCTTGGCACTACAACACTTCCAAAGAGTGTTGCGGCGCCGTTAGGCAGACATGAGACAAAAAGTTAATTGAGCATCGCAGTGCTCGAAACTCGGCGACGCGGCGCTGTGAGGCAGGCCGATAGCTTTCTTACTCATTTTTCATGAAGGTTTGCATTCTTTTGTGGTTTTATTGTATCTCTTTGTTAGTTCTATTATGAGAATAGTGTAAAAGGGAAGAGAGACAAAGTGTAACAATTCAAAATTTTGAAAATAATTAAAAAAAAAAAATCTGAATTTATGTTTGAATTGCGACGCAATGGAGAGAAAATGGAGAAAGCATATTCTTAGTTGGATTTCTTTGCGGCTTTTGTAGAAGCTTCTCAGATATCTTATTTATTATTAATAATGAATTCAGGTTCGCAAAATAATATACTTTTGATGGGTTATGGAGTCTTTTGTCGACTTTAATGGACTTATAAAATCTTATAATTTTATAATTAATTCTATATTTTTAAGTTTGTTATAGCCACTAAAAATAAATCCCTTAAAAATTTATTTGATATCCCACAATATCATGTAAATAAAAGTGGGTGAGAAAGAGAGAGGAGAGAAATAGGTCGGAGAGGAGTTTTTTTCAAGTTTTTGTGAGGTAAAGGTCTTCAACTCTTTAAAAGAAAAGAGGTGTTGCCCTTTTTAGTTCAACTAGAAGAGAAGCTTTCAGTCATAATATAGAGTTCCTCATTTGAATTCCTACAACAATGAAAAGGAAAGAAAATACTTGTTGCATTAATAATATCTGTCTACATCCAGCATGTGAATGCATTTTCTATTAATATTTGACATAGATAATTTGATAAATAAATTTTTTATCTTTGTTGCGTCCTGAAATATTCGCAGTGATAGAAAAATATATAGTTTAACGTCTTAGCTTTGTACGAAGATTTAACACACAATCAGATAAAAGAGAGGGTGTAGTATTTAAAACATACATCAAGATTTTTTACATAGAAAACCATGAAAATGGAAAAACCACGGGGATTGACCCAGTTTGAATGAATCCACTATTATTTGTAGTCGATTACAAATGAGGCCCTTCCTTGGGGGAAGGCCTTGGCTTGATGTAATAGATATAAATCATATAAAATACATTACATGCATGATGGGAGTTAAAAGAATCACTATTGATATGTTTGTTTGGTCTCGGTAGAACCATAGTCGGCGGGCAACGGATGTCGTAAAGACCGTAGTCTAGTGACATTGGTTGGAGGGACACTAGTCGGCGGACGACAGTGGTCAGAAAGACTATTGTCTGGTGAAGGAGGTAAGATGGACCATATGCAGCTAACGGAGGAAGTCAGAAGTCCGACGATAGGCGAAATACTAGCATCAGGCAGAAGTTCAACGATGGAAGAAAGTCTGGCGTTAGATAGAAGTTTGATGACGGACAGAAGTGTAGTGACTGGCGGATGTCCGACGTCGGGTAGAAATCTGACAACAGGCAAAAGTCCGGCGTTGGGTAGAAGTCCGATGAAAGTTCGGCGATAAGCAGAAGTTCGATGATGGGTAGAAGTCCGATGTTGTGTAGAAATTTGGCGACGAGTGGAAGTTCGATGTACGATTGAAGTCTGATAAAAATCTGATGACTAGCAGAAGTCTGACGATAGGCGAAAGTCCATCATTAGGTAGAAGACCGGTGACGGACAGAAGTCTTACGATGGGTGGAAGTTCAGCGTCTGGTAGAAGTCCGACAAAAGTTCGACAAAGAGTAGAAGTCCGACGACTGGTGGAAGTCTGACATTGGGTAGAAATCTGACGGCAAGCAGAAGTCCGGTTTCATGTAGAAGTCTGACGATGGACAAAAGTCCGGTGTCGGACTGAAGTCTGACAAAAGTCCAGCAATGTGCAGTAGTCCGATGACAGATAGAAGTCCGACGTCGGGGTAGAAGTCTGATGTCTAGCATAAGTCCGGCAATGGTCGAAAGTCCAGCGTCAGACAAAAGTTCGACGAAAGTCTAGCGATGAGAAAAAGTCCTGCGTCAATTGACAATCAGGAAGAAGTCTGGCGTCGGTCAGCTGTCGAATGGAAGTTTGACGGTGGTTGAGGAGGAGTCTATTGGCAAGATAACTCAAATTTCTTTTCTTCTTTGCTCCCCCCTGTCATGAGAAATGATGGGTCTATTTATAGTTTTCTGAGAGTGGCATGACTAGTAAATAGGAGGAAGATCAAGGATAAGTTAAGAGTGGTTCTAATGGACGATTGATGTTGAATCCACTGATCATTGACCATTTACCAGACATTTAATTGTCTTAATGATATTGAAATTTGACAATCTTGGACTATTTGGATTTGTCTCATCGAGATGCTCGATTCGACATAAGCATGTCACATTTGGAAACTGTTTGGTAATCCAAATTATGAATTGAACCTTCCAAATGCGCTTTAGATCTTTGATTTGGACTCATTTGTGCTCGGATTGAGTTGAATTTGGTGTCGTTGGGTTCATATTTTTGTGACGTTCGGTTCAACTATAAGTTTGCTGAAATCAGAGTTCATATGGTCTTAGATTTAATTTTTGAAGTTTCCAACTTGATTTTTTGATGATATATCAATCTTTAATTTATATAAAATATAATATCACTGTGTAGCTGTTTTAAAATTTATTGGGTTTTTATGTGATGGGAGATGTAAGTAAATTTCATCAAATCATATAAATTTTGTGTATCTATATTTGTGCTTTAGATTTCTATTATTATCGTTTTAAAACTTGTACGAGATCTTCGGTTCTTAAAATTTTCAAATTCGAACATTAATTAATGATAAGAAGATAAAAAATAAACAAATTTGATGGCCAAAACTTTAGGTCATGAAAAATGAAGATAAAAGATTAATAGAGAAAGATGCACTAAGAAGCCCATCTTCTTTTATTTTCCCTATCTGCCTTCCTACATAGCAAAAAAGCCCAAACATTTTGAAGACATGTAGGTATGACTTTGCACTTGTCTATTCTTTATTATATTTATAGTTTAGGATTGTGCAAAATATGAGTACGATTGAATTAATAGAACAATATAAGTCAGTGGTTCTAGTATGATGTGATCATTCATATATATATATATATATATATATATATAATTACTTACAAATATAAGTATTTTCTACATAATCAATATCATAATAGTGAGAGATATCATGCTCGCAAAATTAAATTTATGAACTAAAATATTGAACATATTAGTATCTAAAACCATTGTGTGATTGAACTTGTAAAAGGGGAGATTCATTTTTATAAGGTAGATTAAGCATAACAGAGAGATTGCCCAGATAATTTATCCTTTTGCAATGACTTTATTTTCTTGGTTCAAAATTTTCCAGGGATTCAATAAATGAGACTACTTTATTGGTTAGCAATATTGATTCCTCTAAAGATGTAATATTATAATATTTCTCTTGGTGCAGAAGAATAAATCATTAAATCTTGTGTTCAAAAGGATTGGTTAGGGGATTGATGGCTCGCCCTATCAAAACCCTATGTTTTTATTATCCTAGCCATATTATAGATATTGATATATTTAGACATCAAAATTAGTCAACCTAATCTAAGTAATAGTTATTATTTGTACTCATGTATTACTTTGTTTAAGTTTACTTTATAGACCATGGTAAAAATTGATTTGAGTGGCCGATTTCATACTAACTTAGTTTGAAAGAGAGCTTTATTATCTATTAAGTACATCATCAAATTTAGAAGCTTGAATAATAGGTAGTATCTCTCTAGTTATACAAATAAATAATGAGTCAAACATTAGTCACATGGGCTTATAGGTTCAATCAGTTATACATAATCAAAGGACAAACATAAAGATATGAAAATACGACATTCGATATATATTATTGGCCAGCTTTGTAATAATGAGGCCAACTAATTTTATAACTTATTGTGTGTTGCTTGATAAGTGTTGTGGCATAGATGCACTTATCACCTAGATTTATATTTATATAGTTCTTAGCAATAAAAATGATTTTAATGTTTGGGCTATCAAAGGAGAGTAATCTATTGGATAATCTTGTATCCATTGATTTTTATAGGATAAAAAATGATTCTTAATTAAATTCGGTATGAAAACAATAAAGATATATTAATATACATGTTATATTATAAATGATATAATTGAGAATGAATATAAACATTATGAAGCCCGGAATTACACATCATAAATATGACATAAATAGCATAAGATTCTTTGGTTATATTATTTATCCCTTATCACATGACTAAAGTGATTATATATACCTTTGAGCTCTATTAGGCATATAAGATGGAATTACAAGAGAAAATGAGCTAAGTGTATTTAATTCAAAATCACATAAATTCTTAAGTGAACAATCATAATTGCACTGATTCATAATTCATTTCATAGCTAAGGAATGCTAGACTTAGCTTATATGTTGATGATTTTATGTCATATAGCCCATCTGTCTCATCATACACATGTTGGTCAATTATACTTCTTATATGACAAATCCATATCTATTTCTTATGATGGTTATTTAGATTTGTAAAAGCCAAAGGGAAAAATAAATGTATAATTAAAAATGATGATAATATAGATAGGTATTTTAAATAATGGTCAATTATACACATGTTGGTCAATAATATCCCTTATCTTTGCTCCAAGATGCAAAGTAAAAGATAGACCCAATAAATTATATATGATGGGAGATAAGTTAATGCCAACATAGAGATAAGCACATAATTGATTGAGGGAATAACGAAGGAAAACATTGGTTTTGGAGCAAGAATCAAGTTTTTTTTGTTGTGTAATGGTGAAGCCATATGCAGTATAAGCAGCCAAACACATAAAATTTGGAATAATTAAGAGGGATATTCATATGGTGAAGATGGTGAAGAAAGGGGAGGTGTGTGGGTGGGTATGCAGGGAATGTCGATATTTGACCCAAGTCAGAACCCGACCCAACTTAAACTAAAAAAAATTATGGGTTAGGGTCAACCCGTTTTACAAATGAGTTGGATTCGGGTTTCATTTTCTGACCCGCTTGATCTGGTCGGGTTCGGGTCCAGTTGAAAATCATAAATCAACATATTTCTGACATGAAATCAAACCCGATCACCCCCTCGCCCGAAGTAGTCCCGCACCTGCGCCTCCTGCCGCACCTGCACTAGCGCTCACCCACATAGCACACACTCGCCGCTTTGCACACACGCGCTCGACCTATTGCCAACAGGCTAGCCCTCGCATGCTCACTCGCTCGCCCTGAGGCTCGCCCCTTTGGCCTGCACACACACTATTTGTGCAATGCTCGTGCTCGCACCGCTTATGTCTGGCTACTTGTAGGTTAGCAGGTCTAATCGGGTCAACCTAGGCTAGGGGCAGGTTGGGTTCGGGTTTGGATTTCTAACCCTTTTTCCTAGTCTCAAAAAATTTTAGGTTCGGGTCAACCCGTTTTACAAATGAGTTGGGTTCGGGTTTCATTTTCTGACCCACTTGATTTGGTCGGGTTCGGCTCCAGTTGAAAATCATAAATCAACCTATTTCTGACATGAAATCCCGAAGTAGTCCCGCACTTGCGCCTCCTATTAACCCTATGCCTGCGCCTCCTGTCGCACCTGCTCCGGCGCTCACCCACATAGCACACACTCGCCGCCTTGCACACACGCGCTCAACCTATTGCCAACAGGCTAGCCCTCGCATGCTCACTCGCTCCCCCTGAGGCTCGCCCCTTTGGCCTGCACACACACTATTTGTGCAATGCTCGTGCTCGCACCGCTTATGTCTGGCTACTTGTAGGTTAGCAGGTCTAATCGGGTCAACCTAAACTAGGGGCAGGTTGGGTTCGGGTTTGGATTTCTAACCCTTTTTCCTAGTCGTGTTGGATTCGGATCAGGTCAATTTCAGATCAGACCCTAAACCCAACCCGAAAATCTATTTTGACACCCCCTTTCAGTTTATGAGGTATACTATCACAATTAAAGTTTGACTCCAATAAAAAAATTATAAGTCTGTTTCAATATATCTGTGTCAAGAGCTTGATAAATGCCATCATTTTTGGATTATAGGATGATGATTTTACCATCAAAATATTTTTCCGCTAAGGCTTTGAAGTCGAAATCATAAATATGAGATTTTTGCTTAAGTGATCGAGTTTTACCAGATGTCTTTGATATATTGATTGATAAAAAATATATAGCATTAGGAATTATCACAAAAGATTATAGGGGCTAAGTTCACAAATCTAAGAAAAAAAGTACTTAATCAACAATGAAATTACAGTACTAGAGAAATTATCATATGATTATAGGAGTAAGGTCCACAGACCTGAAAAAAAAAAGATACAATAGTAAAAATAGATGAATTGTTATAGTGGTGGTGCGAAGGAGTAAATGTATAATTATTATATTTTGTTAATTTTTTTTTCTTTTAGTCTCCTCTGAATAATACATAGGACATTAAAATAGAAAAATTAATTAATTATGAAAAGTATACATTTATTCCTTTACACCACTATCATTACAATTCTTAATCAAAGCAAATAGAAGATCTGATCTCATGCAACAGAATAAATATATGGGAGATTAAAAAAAAAACTAGTTAATATAATTATACATTTATTTCTTTAGAACACTATCATTACAATTCATAACTGAAGCGAGGAGAAGCCATGATTTTTGGCACCAATCTTAACAAACAATTGGATAACCAATGAGAGTTTACAGGTCTAGATGATATAGCTAAGCTAATCCCGTATAGAATCTCAGGATTGATACCAACATTGATCTTCTAATCTCAGAATTCTAGCAAGCATCAGCAAATAAAGCTTTGTAGCTACTCTGTTTACGCTTACTTCTTCTGTGTCGCCATCTCTCTTTGATGTCAGTAGAACCATTTACTGCAAATCCTATTATCTTATCAGCTTCAGCAGCTACTCTTTGCATTCGCCATCTTTCTTGGATTTCAGTAGAACGATTTACTGCAACTCCTCTTTGCTGATCATGAGCCGCTTCGAGTCCATGCTTTGGAGTTGAATTCATGGCTGCCGCTCCCCTTAATCTGCGAGCCTCCGCGAAAAGGTCATATATCAGCATTTCTGTTGTTCGTTCTGTGACTCCTCTCAAATACCATGATATGGGAGGTGGTGGAACAAGTGCTGGTTGGATCAGCTGGTCCAAGCTGACTATAGATCCAACTCTCCCTTTGCCTCCACTGCAGGTGTCATATTCAAGCCAAGATTTTGGTTCACAAGGAGAACAGAGCTCCTTATCAAGAAACAATGGCTCTACTTTCCAAGTGCCTTCAAATCGTTTCATAAATCCTGATTTACCTTGCTTGAATTTGATCTGCATTGAAAAATAAAAAATGTTGCCATAGTCAGAGCCCTGCATTGGGTACCCATACCTACACGGTATGGGTGGGTATGGGTATGCCCATGGCCTTGTGGGTGAGTATGGGTGAGTACTCAACATTGGGGGATAAATCGATTTACATTGCTAATCATCTTATATCTTATATTACTGCAATCCTAACTACGTAATGTGCAGCACTTAACCACACTGCGACTACGGTAAATTTTGACATGCGTCTTAAAAGTTTACAATCAGAGCAAAGGGCATCAAGCCTCGAGGTCATCAATCCGTGGCAGACTGCGTTTAAAAAGCATGTAAAGTGGGTGGGTATGACATCCCGAAAGTCACCATTGGTTGGCGTGGGTGGGCGAAGCCCGTCCGAGTAAAGCATGGGTACCAAATGGGTACCTAACTATGACCCCATATAGGGCTTTGGTCTTAGCCATTAAGTATGATAATTTATGACACTAGCGAGTATATTGAAAAGGGCAGGTTTATTTGGAAAAAAATCTGAGAAGGATGTAGCTGAATCTTACAGTATGATCCATCCGGTTCTGATCCACCAAGACTTGAATGGACATAGTTCCAGACCACCAGAGGAATCTCCAAATTACTGCCTGCTCCACCTCCACCACCTGCCTTGGACCTTCGTCAACCAAAACCCTTCTGGATATCACTTCCTATAAAAAGATACCAGTCTTTAAACAATCAAAAGAAGCACGCTATTGATATGCTAAGCACATGTTTTAAATATCAAGTCCCCAAAATATAATATATGTGCAATAGTCATACTGGTACCCATTGGCTCTTTGCATTGAAATGACCTCAGTACATATCTAAGCTAAAATATCTACTAAATTTATCTGTTTATGTGCAAAATAACAACAAAAAATGTACCCCTATATTTTCTAGGGGCAAGTCAAACACACCAAAGAGAAGACTTAAACTAGGTCTAAGGAGTTAACCAGGTTCAAATAGGTTAGAATCACAAACTCATCCAACAGGAGTCATCTTATCAGAACACCAAGTTAGGTTCGTACAGACGAAAATGGCAGATTTCTTCACAAATTTCTTCAGTTCGTCCAGTACTAAAGTCAGATCGTACGGGACTAACAGCACAAAAAAAATCAGCTTTTTGAAGGGTTTTACATGCCACAAGGGCACCGCAATGCTCAACTGTCAGCAGCACCGTAGCGCTACAGTTGTAACTGACCAGGACACGATCTTTCAGCGAAGCGACGCGTCTATTCATTAAATAGCAGGTCCACGTCAGCAAGTGCCGTAGAGGAGGAAATTCTTCGGCACTGCGATGTTAGTTCATTTTATAGGCGTCACGACGCAAGTGTCTAGAGCGCCGAGGCACTACAGTCCTTTTTCTATGTTTTTCTATAAGTAGTCCGTTTGTAATGTTAATAAGTGAGTTCATCCACTTAGTTAATTTTAGTGTTCATAGTGCTTCTCTGCAATTTTCTTAGGAGTGACAACTAAGGGAATTCAGGGAGCACTAGATCCGCTTCATAAGAGTGTTTGGTCAATACTTGTGGAAGTAATTTTGTAAATTTAAAGAGAAGTGTAGAGGAGATTATTCAACCCATCCAATGCTATCTTTTATTCCATACTTTCTTTCTTTTGTGAAATTGATAAAAATGAGTTTGTTTCACTTATTCTTCATGTCTAGCTAAATTCTCTAGTTTTGAATTGATGGTGTAAATGGAATGTGAAGTACTAATGAATTATTTTTATCAATAATTTAATGATGTTTTCAATATATTAGGTCTTCATTTAATGCACATAGTTGTCATATGTGTATTTAATATCAAGTGTAATGTGGAGCTTAGAAATAGAAAAACAAGCACAATCAGTTATTTTTTTTATTGATATGATACAAGTATAGATATAGTGCTTGACATATATCAAATTTATAGAGATGAATTGTAATGAGGGGGTTTTAACAATATATGTTTTACTTACTCTTATAAGATTTTCATATTGTGACAAACTATGAGAATTTAGAGTGGTATTGATGTTCGAAGGTTTAATTTGTCTTTTGTCTCTTCACGCTCGGCTAAGCGATCAATGATGCATATGCTCTAAATGGCATCAATATAAAAGAGAATCATTAGGAAACATATTGTATTTACATTCCATCAATCCAAAGCATTTTATCCAAATATTATTTCATTTAAATGTTTTTTATTTTAAATTAAGTAATTAAATCTCCGTCAAAACTTATTTTTATTGAGTAGGATAATTATTATAATTATAGTATAAAGTACTAGTATTTGCAAGTAAACATTCTTCCTCGTGGGATCGATATTCTACTTTATCACTATATTACTTGATTCAGCATGCATACTTACATATATTAAGCAGGATTTTTGTAATATTTATTTCAAAGAAAATCTAAGCTTTGTTTAGGGATTGATAGAGCCCTAAATTATTTTTATAATTATTTAGGTTATTCCACCGCCCCTATCAATAACCTCACTCAAGATTTGGTCACCTTGGTGTAACTTTTTAGGAGGTCCTCTATTCCGGGAGTGCTACAATATGAGCACCCTTAATTTTAGAGTTTCTAACAAAATTCCAATAGTTACATTGATGCGTCTTGAAAGTAAAAACAACAAAATAGATAGAAGAAAATTATAAGAAATACAAATATAGAGGCTAATTTTTTATTTCTTCAATAATAATAAAAGATATAACTAAACTACTATTCGAGAGGTAGATCTGATCTCCCATAAACCCTAGCCATTATTAAAAAACTCACACCAAATCCTAGAAAATAAACTCAGCACATATCTCTCCCTAACCCTAGGCAAAAGTCCCCCTTAAATATCCCTCACACATATTAAACACAATTAGAACCTTCCTAAATAATATAAATACAATAAAGAAATCTTCCTACACAATTAAAACTTTCATTAAAAGTATAAACACAATTAGAAAATCTTCTTAAGCAATTAAAATCTTCCTAAACAGTATAAACACAATTATGAAATCCTCCTAAATAATTAAAACCATGCTAAACAACATAAACACAATTAAAAAACCTTCTTAAACAGCTCCCCCTTGATTCCTCTTCCTTACATAATGAATAATAGCTCCCTTGGGCCCCACAAGGGGGGACAAAATCTTCTCCTCTGCTTCCCCTGGTTTTGCTAAGCCAAAAGGCTAGTTCAACCAAGGTTGGGTCGGTCTGGCTGGGTTGATCTGGGTCGGCTAGGCCCCTCCCCCCTTTCAGCATATTAAACACCAAAAGACGCATCGATGTTTTAAGAATTTAAAGTTTTTTTTTTAAATTTATCTAATTATTTACTTGACAGATAAGACTCTAGAGGAGACCTCTTCAAGTTCAAGTAGTGGCTACCGCCATATAGCACTTTATCTTATATAGAGTTTAAAAGATGGCCTCAATGACATAACACTTTATCCTATATCGCACAAATTAGCCAATCCATCATATGATCAAGTAGTTTCGACTCAAGAGACTTGTACCAAAAAGCCCCAAGATTGTGACCAACATCCTTGCGAGAATTGGCATAAGTTGAATTATTGCTGTAACAAATTGACAAGGAAGTTGCATTTCTGTTAAGACAACCCCACTTGAAAATTTTGGAAGAAGGTCGACATCCTATGACTCGTTTAAGAAGAAAAGGGAGTCATACCTAGCCAAAGGACTCATCATATAATCCTCTTTAGATTTCCATGAGAGAATAATTAATGTTATTAGCGACAACGAGTATTCATGTGGTTGTCAACAATGCACTGGCCATCAAATGCCCATAACCCAAATAAATTATCTTCCATAAAGATCATGAGCGTGCCATTCACAGCGAGGAGGTGACTGCTCGATCATTTTAAAACCAACCATAGCTTATATTTGACTATCCTCATGCAGATACGGATCTTATGTAGCTTATCCTAAGGCATCAATCACAGCTCTTGCTTATAAATAAAAGATTTAAGTGTTAAGCACAAGCACAAGCAATCACAGCCTAATCCCATCTTTTGCTCCCTCGCACTCTATGAAATGGTATGCATTTGCTAGATTTGATTTTCCCTCCTCCGTGAAGGCTTTGGATCCAACAAGAATCTTCTAAATTAATGCCTAACATTTCCAAGTCTTATTTATGTTGTATAAATATAGATAAGTATTTAAGATGATGACAACATAATCCTTTTCAAACTAAAAAAGTACAAATTTGATAATGACTAATGGTAGAACATGATCCAAAAACAACAAATTTTTCTGGCAAACATAGGACCCTGTTATTAGCATCAGTGACTTGTATATTCGCAAATTCAATTGTTTTAATGAGTTCAAAGTTTAAGTAGCAATACCATGCTCTTAGCAAATACTAACCGGCTAATGGGATCAACAAAAATTAATTTGTCGTCTCTCTAATAGTTGACACTGCATCTATTTAACATTTAAATGTTTAAAAGAAGCATCCTAAACACGTTGGAAATCACCAAGAATGCATTCCAATTGTTTGTACAGAAAACTCCGATGACAATAAAGGATGTGCATTGGCATCCATATTGACATGTTGAGATCAATGAACAATAATAGAAACAGCAAGTTACAGGTTGTTAGAGAAAGTTTAAAGATTGTTGCTAGTCTGGAAGCTGGTGATTAAACCATACCAAAAACTAGCAAGTCTAAATAAGGACCAATGAGGACTAAGGAGATTGCTAAAATAGCTGTTTCACAAGTAAAGGCACAGTAGATTTCACATGCCAACTATAAATCACTATATTGAAAGAATGCAACCATTTATTCACAAGTTTTTGCCCAACATTGAATGATGTTACCATGGGTGGATCCCCCATGTATTCAAAAAAATAAATTAAATATTTAGAGGGGATATTTTGAAATATTTTGGGCATTTTGCCCCCCCCCAAAAAAAAATTTTTTACCCTAATTTTATCAATCCTAAGCGTTTTTGTCCATCCCCCACAAAAAAAAAAATTTTTTTGTCCACCCTGAAAAAAGAAGCTGGATCCGCCCTTGGACGTTACCATAGGAAGTAGACAGCTTGAAAAAATTGTAGATATATTAAATAGAAGATAATGAATGACCAAAACTCAAGTAAAAAAGGCATACCTTGATGTTCTTAAAAACTCTTTTGTTTTCAGGATCAATGACAATGTTAAAAACTGCATCTGGAGGCAACCCAACATTGCATTTGACATTTAAGTTGCAAAGAGAGCCTTCCGGTACACTAACCTGAAGTGAGTTTCAATGGAACTTTTAGTCTATACGCAGTACATGGATATAATATTTAAGTATCACTTTGCTTAGGCAGAGTCATCCTTAGATAAGTTGTTGAAAATTAGACCTTGGGGATGTCTAAAAATTTGTAAGGGATATACTTGGATAGTGAAGGCACAAAAATTTATAAATTATACCCTTCCTGAGAACAGCATAGCAATTATTTCCATTTTCACTTAATTTACCTTTGAAGAACGTAAACCATGAAAAAGGCCCTCTGTGATACTGAAGATTATCAACATCATCATCAAAAGAAAGAGCGCAGCCAGTCATAGCTAAAAAGTCTTGTCATTCACGTATTAAAGGTATGGATCAACAATAAACTATTGGTTTTAAGCATAGTCGAAGAAAGGGGAGACAAAAACTCAGAAAATTGAAGACATCAAGATAAGACTAATAATAATCATTCTTTTGTACAATTAAACACTACCTTAAGTTCCGGAGGATGATCAAGCCAGTAAGAGTTTTCTCTCCATGCTTGCATCTGCCTCTCCAAATCAACCTTCCATGTCTTACACGAATCCTTCTCTCCTATAGCCAAAAAATTTGTATTATCAAGCTTCTGCTTATGTTTCTTCAATCCTGACTGTAAGTATAACAAACAAGACCATTAATTTGAGCTAAAATCATGTTATGCCCGACAAAAGCAGCGATACACACCTGCAAACAATTGTGAAGTCTATGAGGGATCTTCATCAAAAGTTCCTGTAGTGATGAAGGAGTTGCTAGCCATCTTTGTCTCTCACAAACATGGGCATCAAGGCTTTGCTTCATTTTATTGTCGTTCGCTAAAGCCTGAAATAAATAAATAAAAAAAGAAATAATCCATGATATAGTTAGATTTTAGAAGTGCGGATATTTGAAGACATGGAAACTGCGTTGATGAAGTGCTTTTATTTAAGAAAATATCAATTTGGTTGACGTGATTTAATGTAGGAAGTTACAAACGGGGAAAAAATCCTGTAAGGGGTCTATTATTCTACATTTCTACATGATACAGTTGAGATTGCGTTTAAAATTCACTTTTTCTTTTCCTTTTATTGATGAACTAAATGGTTCAGCTTTAAAAGGCAATTAAGCTCAAATCACTCCATTTCTGTCAGAGAAAAAAAGTAAAGTCCTATCTGAAATGAATCTGAAAACAAAAACTGCTTGGGTGTCCAAACTTTCATTTTTATATTCCAACTATTCAGTGATTATTCCCAAAAAAAAAAAAAAAAAAACTATTCAGTGATGCAGGCTACAGTCCACGTGGAATACACGTCCAGAAGAGACCTGCTCATTAGCTTACTCCTCAACTATCTTTATAACCGTTTTTATTCCTTTTCTGTTTTAGCCGTGCCCTTTATTTTTATTTTCTACCTTTATTATTTATGTATCGACTCATATATATCGTATTAGAGAGATTGAGAAGGGATATAGAAGATAAATACAATTAATTGCATCTAAAACCCTGATTCATGTTCCATTGGCTTCCTTCTTCTTGTGTCTATTCTCATTTTTGCAGGTTGAACGTTGTACAGAGCCATTCTTGGACAATATGGCTGACGGAAGTTCCTGGAGAGCTCCTGACGACAATCGGGGTTAGAAGCTGTTTGGGCTGCCCAGGCTAGCTTCATTCGGCATCTTGAGGAGTTAAGGGCAGATTTCTTTGGCCTCTCCATAGAGATGAGGAAGGAATTGGCTGCTCTCAGAGCATCAGTGGATACAATCGTCCCTGGTCGCGTACCGACGCAGGCTCGGCCACCGATTCTGAATCCCGAACGAGTTGGACGAAGACCGCAAGTTCCAATTGTAGATTACTCGGATTTAGAATATGAAGTTAATCCCCGATTACACCCGGAACTATCTGATACGGAAGAGGATCTACGCCCTCAGTATTACGCGGCCCCGAGGCGACTGGTTGGACATCCTCACCGAGAACAGGGAGAACAGCAAGACTCAATTCGGTTTGGTCATTATCCAAAGCCGTTAATTTTGCCTTGAAGGTAGAATCACAAATGCAACGGCATTCCCGGAGTTATTCCAGTCGGCGACAATTCCAACACGAAGTTAGTATGGAAATTTCGAAGGCCAACCCTCCGCAGGCAAAAGATACAACCAAGCACCACTCCTTCATCCAACAACATAACTGCTGAAAGTAAAATGTCTGCCAAGATGAAAGCCCCATTGAAGGAGAATCCCTATAGTAAGCCCACAACATTGAAATGTTTTAGATGCTTTCAACACGGCCACAAATCCAATGAATGTCCCAACCAGCAACAGATTCAACGTCTTGAAGGTGAGCAATTAGATGAAGGAATGGGTAATGAAGATCGCCTAGAAGAGGAGGTGTTTATGGAAGATCTTCACGGAGATGAGGGGGAACCTGTTGTATGCATTCTTGAAAAATTGTTGTCGGCACCAATGCATTCTCCGCCTTCACAACGAAATGCATTGTTCTGAACTAAGTGCACGATATAGAGAAAGGTTTGCGAACTCCTTATTGATAGCGGGTGCACCGAGAATGTAATTTCTCACTCCGTCGTGTAGGCATTGAAGTTGAAGACTACGAGGAAGTCTCAATCATACAAAATTAGCTGGGTGAAGCGTGGCGTAGAGATAACTGTTTCCGAAGCATGTCAGGTAACTTTTTCTATTGGAAAGGACTGTGTGCGAAGTAAGTTGTGATGTCCTCGAAATGGACATTAGCCACCTCATTAGGCCGACAGTGGCAATTTGATGTTAATGCAACATATGACTGTCGAGCCAATGTCTATTTATTTGAGTGGAAGGGGAAGAAGTTGCGGTTGCTGCCGCAGACACTTGATGCAGTTGGCAAAAGTATCACGGGTCAAGCAACTGCCTAAATTGTGTCTTGACATATGTTACTGCAAGATGTTCATAACAAATCCCTTGTTTTGGCTTTAATAGTTGTGGACAGCTCTTATCATACAACTAAAGCTTCCTTCCCATAACCCATTCAACGGTTACCGTTAGACTTCGCTGATATTGGACCTAGTGAATTACCCACAGAGTTGCCCCCCCTTCGCAACATTCAATATCAGATTGACTTCATCCCAGGAGTGACGCTACCCAACTTACCATATTATCGGATGAGCATGAAGGAACATCTAATTTTACAAGAAATTGTGGAAGACTTACTCAAGTGACAGCTAATCCAGAATAGCCTCAGCCCTTGCGCGGTGCCGGCGCTTATTGTTCCCAAAAAGGATAGGCAGTGGCGAATGTGTATTGATAGCAGAGCTATTAATAAGATCACAACCAAGTACCGGTTCCCTATTCCGAGAATTTCAGACTTACTGAACAAATTACACGGTGCTGTCATATTTTCCAAACTTGACTTGTGTAGCGGCTATCATCAAGTTCGCATAAGACCCGACGACGAGTGGAAGACAACACTCGAGACGCGTGAGGGGATATACGAGTGGAAAGTTATGCCATTCGGACTATGAAATGCTCCTACTTTTATGAGACTTATGAGTGAAGTGCTTCAACCTTTCTCGGGTAAATTCTATATTTCTTATATTGACGATATCTTAGCCTATAGCACTTCACTAGAAGTTCATGTACTGCATTTGACTCAACTCTTCCAAGTTTTAAGGAGCAAAAAATTATATCTAAATTTGCCCAAGTGTGAGTTCACAACATCCATCTCCTATTTTTTGGGCTTTGTTGTCTCTTGGGAAGGAGTCCAAGTGGATTCCCACAAAGTCTCAACCATCCAGGAATAGCCCATACCTCGTTCGTTATCGGAGATTCGTAGTTTCCAAGGTTTGGCGAACTTCTACTGACGATTCATACGGGGATTTAGTATCATAATGGCACCTATTACTGATATTTTGAAGGGGCACTCCTCAAGTTGATACAAATGCATCTGTTATAGGAATTGGACCAGTGCTATATCAAAATGACTGGCCAATTGAATACTTTAGTGAGAAGTTGAGTCCTTCCCGCCAGAAGTGGATGGCGTATGAGCAAGAACTGTATGCTATTGTGAGGACATTGAAATAATGGGAACACTACCTCCTCCATCAAGCCTTCGTATTGTGCAGTGATCACCAATCTCTATAAATTTTTAAATAGCCAGAAGACAATAAGTAGGATGCATGCAAGATGGGTGATATTTCTTCAAAGATTTAGTTTTGTGATACGTCACAAGACTGGGAAGATGAATAGAGTGGCTGACGCACTTAGCCGACAAGCTGCCTTACTCGCCCAGCTTCAGACCGAAGTCACCGAATTAGAGGAGATGAAGTTACTATATGACTCAGATACTGACTTTGCCCCGCATTGGACAAAATGTCACTCGGGTACTCCAAAGGAGGATTACTCGCTGAGATACGGATTTCTTTTTAAAGAAAATTCTTTGTGTATTCCATCCTCATCTTGGCGACATCACCTTATTAAGGAAATTCATTGCAGCGGCTTGGCAGCACATGTGGGTCGAGACCGAACACTCAAATAGCTTCAAATCAGATTTTTTTGGCCGCACATGAAAAGAAATGTATCCCAATTTATAGAACGTTGTGATGTGTGTCAAATATATAAAGGGACTGCTCAAAATATAGGTTTGTACATGCCCTTTCATGTACCAAATTAAATTTGGGAAGATTTGAGTCTTGACTTCGTGTTGGGGCTGCCACGAACGAAGAAAGGATATGATTCTATAATGGTGGTTGTGGGCAGGTTTTCTAAAAGGACACATTTTATCCCAGGTAAGAAAACTTTTGATGCTCTCAATATTGCTAAATTTTTTTTCAAGGAGATAGTCCGCTTGCATGGAATACCCCATAGTTTGACCTCTGATAGGGATGTTAAATTTATTAGCCACTTCTGGCGAGAACTATGGAAGAGGTTTCAAACATATTTGAAGCTTAGTTCCGCCTATCATCCTCAAACGGATGGACAAATGGAAGTTGTCAATAGGACTCTAGCTAATATGCTCAGATGTTTAGATCAAGATAATCCCAATCAAGGGAAGAAATTATGGGTCAAGTTGAGTTTGCATTTAACTCCATGCCAAATCGTTCTACAGACCGATGCCCATTCAATATTGTATACACCAAAATACCGAATCATATTGTGGACTTAGCCATACTTCCTAAATAGAGAAGTACTGCTGCCTCTCAAGCTGCAACCCAGTTCTCTGATATTCTAAAAACTGTTCAAGAAAAGCTAAGTGACAGTAATGCAAATTACAAGGCAACTAAAGATAAGCACCGCCGGCACATAGAGTTCAAACCGGGTGAATTAGTAATGTTACGACATCGCTGAGATCGTTTTCCTTCCAGACTGTGTCCAAAGTTAAATCTAAAAAAATTCGGGTTGTTCCTGATGCTGCGCAAGATCAATGACAATGCATATGTCATAGACCTTCCCAAGAACATTCAAACCTCTTCCACCTTTAATGTTGCATATATCTATCCCTAGTACCTACCGGATTCGTTGCACTACACAACAGTCTCATCGTAGATGAGCTCGTCTGAAGTAGGGGAGACCTAATGCGAGCTACACACCACGTGGAATAAACGTCCAAAAGAGACCTCATTAGCTTACTCCTCCACTATCTTTATAATCGTTTTTATTCTTTTTCTGTTTTAGTCGGGCCCTTTATTTTTATTTTCTACCTTTACTATTTCTATTATTACGATAAAGACTCATATATATCGTTTTAGAGAGACTGGGAAGGGATATAGAAGATGAATACAGTTAATTGCGTCTAAAACACTGATTCCTATTCCATTGGCTTTCTTCTTCTTGTGGCTATTCTCATTTATGCAGGTTGAACGTTGCACCATTCAGTATATTGACAATAAAAATATAACTAACTATTACAGCTTCGAAGAAAGTTTCGCCTAAACCTTAGATGAACAAGTCATTTAAAGAGCAATATAAAATCAGCCTAGGCGAAAGTGGCGAAAATTAACTCTTCTATCAGAAAATCTTGGTGAATTTCTCTAGATCTTTTTCGTATAGGTATGGGGCACTGTAGCAACATGATTTATGCAAGATTTGTGCAAGATTCATGTACATGTATGGCAGAGGTTTTTTTTTAGCTCTTTTTTTGTTTGTTTTGTCTATTTGCGTAAAGGTCAACACTAAGCCAATCACTTACTATCACCCTACTTCTAATATTCTTCATCAACCAATGTCATTTGCCAATATACAAGCGACATCTGACCTCCATTAGCCATTGATGTTGATGCCAAACAGCCATCAAAGTTTGACACTAGTCTTCGTAGTCGCTCGGTCTCCTCTCTTATCATGAGAACATGCCAAGTTGACCGCCCTACGTCTCTTGAATCTAGACATCCACCATCAATTATCGCCTGGCACTTATTATCCATTGACGACTCGAGCACCTCAAAACTCCTCCTAATATCATCACATGAGATGTTTTTCATGATTCATATCTAATACATTATATTAATGACTTATTGAATTCTAGTTTTGGAGAAGGATGTCATTTATATCATTGGCTCACATTAATGAAATTGTGTAAATCAAGCTAAGTTTGTGGCTTTCCCCTTTTTAGACTTTCCAAGTTATCATACCTCTTATATGTTACTCTCAACTTATCCATGTAAATAAACTAAGTTCTCGAGCATCTCCAAATACCAGCACACTACGCTGCCAACGCATTCAGCTTCTAAAATTGCCTTTAGCATTTATTTGAATTCTCCCAGCCCACAAAAGCCAACCTTTCAATTGTTTCCTACAACAACTATTAACTAAGGAGAGGTCATATAAAGACTCAAAGGAAAAGCTATCATCATCACACTTCTTCTAAACCAACTGAAAAATGTAATTTTTAGCAGGATAAAAATCTACACCTACTGCAAAGTTGACCTCAAATCTAATAATAGCCCCCTGCGATAGCGATGAATATAAACTAGCAGAAAAATTCAAATATATACAATAGATGCAGCACAAGCTGATCTGATCCTGAACTACCCGGTGCAAGAAGAAAACCGCCGAGCAAACATTTAATCAGTGCAGGAATTACTAGATCAAGTAAATGGCTACACAACCTTACCATTTGAAAGCGTTCTGCTTCTTCGAACTTAGAGCGAACAGCTTCCGTGCATCGTTTGTTAGCCCAGAAGCGAACAACGATATCGAGAGGCAAAAGGCGAAATGAGTTGGAATAATCAAGAAAAAAGGGTTAGCTGACTACGACAATAAGGAAGAGAATTTAGGAACGCAATCATAGAACTACGGTGTCATATCCACCCAACTGAGTGTTCACGCACGGATCGCACCTATTAAAGACAGCTTCTTTATAATTTCTTAAAGGGAAATTTACATACATACCACTATATACCTCTCATTTTACATATCTAACACCTAATTTATTAATATTACATTAATACCACTCAACCCTATTACATCATTTCTACCACTCCATCTCCACCCACGCTCACGACGTCTCCTTCCCGTCGAAAGGATATCTGCTTCGCGCATAGTGTCCGACTGTCCGGTGCGTTTTGTCTCAGACTTCCTCCTTCCCGCAAAAATCCCCCATTGCTGGTGCTTCTCACGACGTGCCTTCCTTGCGTTTTGTCTTAGACTCGCATAGTGCCCACCGTTTGGAGCTCGGATTTCCTTCACAGGTATTTCGTAAGTGTTGAAAAAATATTTGAGAAGTTTTTTCTCTGGATACATTTGAAACAATCGATGAAGAAAAAATATTGAGAAGTGATTATGATATGTATTGAGAAGTGTTGAAAAAATATTCGAGAAGTGTTGAAAAAATATTGAGAAGTGGTGAAAAAATATCCCCCTCCTCCTTTGCAGATCAGAATCTAAGTCCGGAGGTGGAACAGGGTGGGTCGAATTGGGAGAAATCGAAAGGGTGCTCTATCATTGAGGATGCACTACTGCAGGAGATCGTCGGTGCGATTGACTGCCGGCGATGAATTGTGACCACGTAAGGATGCGATGAGGGCGTCGACAGCATCGAGGAAACAGCGATGTCGGAGGCGTCCGACCATATGGAGCGATCGGAGGAGAGGAAAAGGGAGATCTGGAGGTCGATTGAGGAAAATGCGATAGGAGTGGTTTGTTCGTCGCTGATGGAACCGCCTGTGTGGTGGTTGGCAGCGAGCCTCTCGCGGGAAAAAACTGTTCTCCAGCGGAAAGCCCACGCGGGAATGAAGAGAAAATGGAGTGAGGTATGCTGTTAACGGAGTGGTAATTTTGTTGTGAAAATATAGAATCGGTGGTAGGAGTGTAATATTTAAGAATTAGATGTTAAATATGTAATACACAAACTATAAAGTGGTATGTATGTAAAAATCCCTTTCTTAAGGGAAATTATATTTTTAATAAAAAAATTATTTTAAAAAGCAATTAAAAAATCATCCCAAACAAAACTCCACTAAAAATAGGTTACCTCGCCAATACATATTGTATAGTTTTATTATATATTGATCACATAACATAATTTTATCGAGTCCTAATCCTCTCAAGACTCCGCACATAATAATTTCTGAGAAAAGAGCTGGATGAGATTAAAATAATTAAAAGGGTTATTTGTATAAAACTCATTAAAATTTTGATTATTTCATAAAGATAATATTTTAAAAATTTGTCAATAAAATTGCAACTTTATCATATTTTAGAAAGAGTAAAAATTAATCCTCACATACATTTTAGAAACTTTTTTTATTTAAAATTCTTAACTTTCTAGCTTTGTTGATACCTTAACATTATCATCAGGGTTCTTAACGAAATGGAAGCAATTCACATGAGATTGGAGGATAACATCATATTATAATTGAAATAAAAATTGAATATACAACTTATTTTTATCTGTTGGTTGGAAGCTTTGATTATCAAACAAGAGATTTTTGATTCAAGTCTTACGTATGTGATGTGTGTGTGAATTTATTTTAATTGGCTCACAAAATAATAATTTATTGATAAAGTTGTAATGATTTAGTGCTGATTACTTTGAATTTTTAGATTAATTGATTTTCAAGCTTTAATAGAATGCATTTAAGTTGGGCTCTAAATATATAATGTTGCGTGCTATAATATACGCGGCGGTAGAGTTTGTAAATTTGCGTCCTGGCGTTTTACGAGTATTCAGCACACAAGCAGAAAAAGGGAAGTGAACACCAATGTTTTTACGTGGAAAACCCGAAAGAGGGAAAAAAACCACGGGGCCTCGCAGAGTTGCAAAGTTCCACTAGTATTTGTTTCAAGTACAAAGGTTTATCCGTCTTACAAATCAAGACGATCAATTTACAATCAACTTCTCACAAAGTTATAAAGTTCTGCAAATTCCTGGCGTTTCCCGAAAATCCGGCAGAGTTCCGGCTTCTTCAGGCGGCGGGAAGAGCTCCGACGGTGGTCGAGGATGAGCTTCTTCCTTCTCCTCCTTCTCTTCTTCTTCTCTCTCTTCACTTAAGTCCCCTTTGTGTAGAATGAGGGCTCTATTTATAGTTTTTCTGGAGTGACATAGCTTGTAAATAGGTGTGAGATCATGGGCGAAATAGGGAGTGGTTTGAATGGATGGCCGATATTGAACCCTTCAATCCTGCGCCGTTCGTTGGACATTTGGAGGCCTTAATGATGTCAGAATTCGGTGATCTTGGGCTCGTTGGATTTTTCTCGTCGAGCCGCTCGATTTGAGTATAAGCTCGTTAAAATCAGAGACCGTTTGTTAACTCAAATTGTAGTTTGAACCTTCCAACAGCGCTTCGGGTCCTTGATTCGGACTCATTTGGGCTCGGATTGGGTTGATCTTGGTGTCGTTGGGTTCGTATTTTCGAGACGCTCAGTTTGACTATAAGCTCGCTGAAATTGGAGTTCGGGTGCTCCCGGAATTAATTTTTGAAGTTTCCAATTAGCTTTTGCCTTGAGATTCGTGCCAGATCAAGCTAATTTTGTGATGCTGTATCATATATATTACTAATTTTTTATGCTTGATATATTAAATAGTAAAAAAATTTATTTATGACTTCTTAAAGAATAAAATTAATTTATATACCTTCACTAAAAAATTTTCTGGCTCCATGGCTGAATGTAAGAGTAGAGTAATGTAAATTCTCATCTATTACCTTGTTAGGCTACATGCAAACCCTTGCTGTTTAAATTCTATCATATAATGGGCTTTATTGGCTAGGCCTGCGAAGGCTTTTCTAGGCCTACGACATTCTCTTACCGGCTCCAAATCCTGAACGTAAAAAAGGGACATTATTTAAGAGATAAATAGAAAAAATGCACATAATTATTTACGATTAATGTTAAAAACTTAATTATATAAATTATTACCGTCTAAAGGTCGATGGAGCCCAATTTTCACGAATTTCGATGATACTTAGAAATTTTTATATTTATAGTTTTTTTGGGACATTTATGTCAATTAAGAACTCTTAGTTGATAGTTTAAGCTCTCAATCAATAGATCAAGACGAGTAGTGTGATATATTCATAATTCTCGTTGCTTGTTAAATAGCTAAAAAAATGGAGATAAAATTAATTCTTTGAGAAGCTTGGCATCACACTAAGCGGCGTTTAGGTTTTTTTATTTTATTTTATTTTGCATATGTAATAATTGAAATAAATAATATTTTATAACTTAAAAATATGTTAATTTTAATTTTTATGTGGTGGTGGTGGAGATAAACAATGGCCAACAATCAGCAGCTGGTGGTGGGGTGGCCATCAGGGGTCATGAGCAGCTCTCCTTGGTATGAATTTTGACTATTAACTAAGAGATCTTGAGTTCGAAGAATATGATGTATGTATGAGTTTACCTTAATTAGGGGTGTCAAATTCGGGACATGGGTCGGATTCGTGTCAAATTCGGAATTGACCCGTGTTCAAACGGGTCAACCGTAACCCGGCCCGGGTATACAAACGGGTCAGAAATGCAGACCAAGACCAAGCCGCTGGATTGTCGGGTTGACCCAACTCGACACGGGACGTCGGAACGCATGGACGCAGGCACGTGAAGGCTGGTGGGCCTGGGCTGGCACGGGTGCTCGAGGGCGCATACTGATGCTTGCGGGTGCACGCTGTTGCTAACAGGCGGGCGTGAGGGGGTGCGCGCGGGCGCGAATGGAGAAGTGCGTGCACTGGCATGCGCGAGTGCGTGCGCTGGCAATAATAAAAGTGATCCCGTTAAATAATTCGTAATTTACACCAAACCGTTTTCTGCAAAACCAACGCAAATTCAGTGCAATCAGTATGACTGAACAACGCTATAAGTTCATATTGCGTTTGTGTTTAAGAAAAATTACAGTTAAGAGTCAGCAATTTTCTGTCAAACTATAAAAGTATATTAAACTTTTCTTATCAAATTTGAGCTGAATGAATTTTAAAACTTTAAATTTATTTAAAAAATAAATATAATATACAAATAATCAATTAAAAATAAAATTTAAAAAAGTTATTTTAATCATAATATCTCCATTTTTTTCCTTAAAAGACATAAATATAATCTTTCAAATTATAATTTCATACAAAGCATTCCATAAGAATAGAAGAACTATCACCACTTGCCACTTGTCAACTCCATAGACATTCTTGCCACTTGTCAATTACATATGATTTTTTGGATAAGAGTGAGCTCCAATTGTCGAACGATTTTTTTTTTTTAATACTTTTGAGCGAATTAAGTCAAATTAATATACTTATCACATATACAAGCTTCGAACTTAAGACTTTTTGATTGATAGTCTAAGCTCCAAACCAACATATCAAGGTCGAGTATTTGTAGTACATCCTTTTTTATCTTCAAAATATATACATACATAAGTGATACTGTTGAGTGTTGGCTCTGCCTCCAAATGGCACGTTTTAGGAGAAGTTGGAAATATTACAACTTGTTTTTTTTTTTTTTTTAAATTAAAAAAATTCAAACATGCACAACTTCAACGACTCGGTAACCTTCTCATTTACAGGTTATTTAATTTGATAAGGAGGGAGTGTAAAGTAATTAAAATATATAAATTTTAGAAATTTTAATACCTGCTTTGATGAAAAATAAATGCATAGTAAGATTTTGATGAATTCCAAAATTTCTATGAAGTTTATTTAGATGAATTCAAAACTCACATGTTCTTTACCGAATTCCAAAATACATTACAAGATAACTCCAATTTTAGGATCAAACGTTGTTAGCCTCTTTACAACCAAACAACGCTGCCTCCGACCCTTAGACATTGGTCACCGGAAATGTTAAATGTTGTCTGACACCAATCACCACTGTCGGATGGAGGCTGCAGTTAAAAGCTAATTAACCAC